AGCTTCAAATAAATATTTCTAATAAACTTAAATCAATAATAAAATACATACTTAATATAATGTTTAGTAAATTTTCTACTTGTATTACACCCAAAAATACAAATTCTTAAGGGGAACCTCCCTCTTTCACGATCCAAGATTTTTAATTTTTTTTTCTTTCATTTTTTGTGTTTGGTATATAGATTTAGATGCCCTCTATCTAATGAGCACATTTTAAGAAGGTAAAACCACCTTTTTGTATATGAAAAACTCGCAAAAAAAAACTCAATTTTATGCTAAAAAAGCCAAAAAATGCATCTTTCTTTGCGTTTTTCTGAAAACCAGATTTTTAAGGGGAAAATTGAAGTTCCCCTTCCCCCTTTTCTCCTAAACGGTAAGACCGATTGGACTCAAACTTTTTTTATGAGTTCTTCAATCGAGTTGGAGTGTGTGTTTTTTTTCTCTTGAAAACATTGTACCTATGAAGTTTGGCAGGCTTTATAAAATTCGCATCATCTGAAAAAAAAACTTTTTTTATGGTTTTTTGATAGTGCCTCCAGTGTTTAGCTTCTCCTGAGTCTCAGGAACAATATTTTTCAAAGAAAAAGAAAATATGCACCCAGATTTGTTCCTAGTTGCTGCAGAAAAAAATTCAGCCCAAAAGAACGTAGTATGGCCGTTTGCTGGGGAGAAAACTTCAAGCCATTTTTGGCCCTTGGCATCCCAAAATCTCCCTGAAGAAAGCATTTGGGAATTCTGAGTCTATGACAACCTTTATTCTACTCATCGAGATCTATCTACCTTGAAAGTTTCAAAAAATTTCGCCTAACCGTTCTCGAGAAACATCGGAAAGAGGGGCCCTCAAATAATTTCATTTTTTATTTTCAACTTTGTTTTTAACATATAAAGTTCCAATTTCTTGTAAAACTGATATAATGCGTGTTTCAAATTCATCACGACAACATTTGTCAGCTGAAATATATTACATTGAATTATGAATATTCCTACTTGTATAATTTCAATTTTAGAATTTTTCTTTTATCATAATTTTTTAACATCTTTATAGCACTCGTTAAATCTTCTATGGATTGGCATTCATCTGTAAAGTGTAAAATGAATCTTACCAACTAATTTTTTCCATATTTGATGTAATTACACGTTCTGATAATGTATTAAGAACATGTTTTCGAACAAAACTCGAATACATTTAGTCGACGACAATAATTTCGCCCGCTGACTATATTGCTTATTTTATGCTTTATACGGACATTAAAAAAAGATAATATTATTATCACGTATAGTGTTCTCACATACATCGTTACTCATATTCAGCTTTTTTATTTCTTTAAGTTTTTTGTTTCAAATTGATTAAATACTAAAATCATTAAAAAATTAGTTGATGAAAATAGTTTCGTCTCTGTTGAGATGAATATTTTATTTTATTTCAATGAACAAAATTATAGTACAATATGTATGTATAGAGAGGAAAATTATAGACATTTAATATATTCATAGTGTTTTGTTAGTTGCTTGCTTCTTCTTTGAGTAAAGTAGAAACATGTGAAATGCACCCTTGGATGACCTTTTGTGAAATGAGATGGCACGCTTGATCAACTGCCGCTTCCAGCTCCGCTTGACTTTTTGGCTGTGCTGTTTTGACTGTTTCTTTGAGTGAGTGCCAAACATTTTCAATTGCATTGAACTCAGGCGAATGAGGTGGCCAATCTAATAACTTTAGTCCATGATCATTGAACCATTGGCGAACTGGTTTTGTCCAATGTGATCTTAATTTATCTTGAGCCACCGCATACCGACGACATTTATGTACATGTGGACCAAGATGAGAAGCAAATAATTGTTGATATAAGGTTTGATTGATATAGCCGTCATATCTTGCGAACGTTTTGCCATTCCACCAAACTGCACCCCATAAGTTGACATAAGCACGAAGAGAAGAGATTTCATGTACAGGCGTTGGTTCCCCACGCTTTACCCAAACGATTTTACCTGTGTTACGCAATTGGACTTGTGTCTCGTCAATGAAAATCCATTTTTTGAGGTCACTATTCTGATGTTCCACTGCAAATAAATGGCGTTTTTCGAATTGAGTTTGTGTTGACTTGACTTTGGTTTGTTGTTTTCGTGGATAAAATCCAAGAGCTCGTCGATAGCGTTGTAATGTACGTTCACTAACTCGAATACCGAACTTGTTAAAGATATAGTTTGAAAGTTGATTAGAAGTTGCAGTTGGATTTTTTTAGATGTACTTGTCAAGTGACCGTTGTTGTTCTTCAGTAAGAGAAGGTGGTCGATCTGGTCTTTCTCGTTCAGTCAATAATCCTGTTTCATTGAAGCGAGCGACAGCACGAGAAACGGTTCGACGATCGCAATCCAGATGATGTGCAATTGTACTGAATGTCTTGTTTGGCTTTTGTGCTTCTTTCACTGCATATAAACATTCTTCACGTGTCAAATTTCACATTTTTTAATGGATTTTAGTATTTAATCAATTTGAAATAAAAGAATTAAAGAAATAAAAAAGCTAAATATGAGTAACGATGTATGTGAGAACACTATACGTGATAATAATATTATCTGTTTTTAATGTTCTTATAAAGCATAAAATAAGCAATATAGTCAGCGGGTGAAATTTTTGTCGTCGACTAATTTATAGAATTTCTTCTTATTTTTTATAACATTTATTAGACATTAGAATCAATTGAAAAAAAACGTCCAATACCAAAATTATTTGAAATTAGTAAGATTTTTCTCGCAAAATTTTCTTATTTCTCTAAATCTAATTTTATGTTTTTTATATAGATCTTAATAATAAACCAAAGTATATTTCATTAAAATTCAGTATTGTTCTTTTTGTATAATATTTCTCTTAAAAATCTAGAGAAGCATTTGTTGAACCACCACCCGTATCTAATATTAATCACGAAGAAAATAATAATTCACAACAAAATCCAACTATTGAAAATCAAGTGATCACAACTGAAGAGTAACAGAAAAAAAAACAAAACTTCATTTATTTTATTTGATTCTTAAGTTCATTATTTTAGAATTATAATTGAACGTCCAATGTCTGTTCGAATAATAAAACAAAAACAAGAGCAACAAAATAAAGATTTAACAACTAATAAAACAATTTCTTCATCACCTGTTCTTATTGAATCAACACTTTTTCTTATGCCTGATCAATCACAACCACCAATTTCATCTGTTGACCAGCAACAACAACAACAATCATTTACTACATCAACAAAAGTCCATGATTTTGAACATTCATCATCGACTTCTCGACGAACAACAACAAATCGTATGCATGTGCCAGTACATAATGCATCACAATGGTTTAATGGACCTAATATGCAAAATGAACGATCAGATCGAATGGAAAAAATTATTTCTTCACTTGTTCGACGATCATTCCGACCAATATCTGATAATACGTACGTTAAATCAATGCCATTTTTTTTATTTTAAAATTGTATGTTATAGGATGCCACATGTACCTACATTAACTTCACCATCATCAAAAGAACATGCTCTGTCTAAAGGTAGTTATTAGGAGAAATATCTTCCAAGTTCATAAATACAATCTCAGAACTTTTTGAGAAATCTTCAATCTAAATTACTACTTCCGAGAAGCCACTTAAAGTATTGAAAATCAGTCATATTTGACATAGTAATTTTGTTTGTAGTTTTTATTAATAATTTTGACGAGTAAAATATTTTTTCAGAATTTTAATTTGAAAAAATCAGGATACTTTCTCGAATTACTGCACATCACGGAAAAACTAGTCCGTAGCAGTCAATAGTTCCTCGAATCTAGATTTCACTTTTTTTTTTTTTTTTACTAACAACGAAATGGTCTACGGCTTCTAATGAATTATAAATATTCTACAAAAAATCCTTGTCTGCGCAGCCCTGCACATGTCTGCTTCAGCTTCACTATACTAGTATGGAATGTGTTAAGTGAAAAAATCCCTAGCAGACTATGGTTGTTTTCCAAGGATAATTGATCACAAGAGAAACGATGTGTCTTATTTAGTTCTGCATTTCGAACAGAATTTTATTCTTTTACCTGCGCTCTATTATTTATTTGCTTTTGTTACTATTTTCTTAAACTACTATTATTATTATTACTATTCTAACCATTAATTTAACTGGCAAATAAGCTTGTTGTACACATCTATTATATCTACAACTGCTCTCAACATGCTATTATATATCTTAATAATCTCAGAAACACAAACACTGGCATTGATTATTTCCGAAAACTATAACTTTGGAATCTTCTCGAACTGCCTAAGCGTTTGTTGTTAATACCCTTCAGGGCTTTTATGCCATTGCTAAAGAACTATTAAAAAAAAGAGTCTGATGCCTGTTGTCCTTGGTTATTCAGGAAAAGTGTCCACTGATCATTGATCTATATCCTCACCGTTACGATTTGACTCGGATTACTATGATGATTTTTGCTAATGCACCAATCTGATAAAGCTCGTATCTAAATGCTGTCTCTTGACAGTTTCTTTTGAACTTAAATTTATTTGTACCTATTATCTTAATAATTTGTTTAGGTGTTCGACCAGGTACATTACAAGATTTTTGTATTGAAAGTCAGCGAATGGTACCAACTCCATTTATGTTCAATCGACAATCACAATCAACTAAAAATCGATAGTAAGAATTCTGAAACTGAAATTAACAGAATAAAAAAAAAATTCAAATTTTAGTACACCATCAACACGTTCATATGACTTAAGCCGTTCAAATGAAGGTGAATTTCATATTAACAACAAGAATATGATAATAAATTGCTTCAAATAAATAAATTATTTTCTTTTTAATTTAAATAAAATATTTTTTTTTTGCTTCTTTTACTTTTATCAAACAGGAAGACCTTTTTTTTTTGTCAAATATCCTAAACTTGTGTTAACCATACAAAAAAGTAATAATAGATAAAAATTTCTTTTTTATTCAAGTTCTTTTTGTTCATTTTCAAGTTCTTTTTGTGCATTTTCGAGTTCTTTTTGTGCATTTCTTGCTTTTATCTTTGATAAATTTGTGAAATCAAAATTTTCACAAATCTTAGCACGTTTTGCGCATTTAGGATGATAGTACTAAAATACAAAAGAAATTCTAACCTTGAGAAGCTATCTATGTCAATTGGACTTACGTTTTTTCCATACATAACATATGGAGTTCCAGAAACCATTCGTCGATCGAGAAGTGACGCTGTTTCTTTACATCTTTCACAAGTATGCATTTGTGTATCTGTATGAACAACTAACTAAAATGAATTGAAAAAATCTAATATTATCTGTGGATAAATCCTTTGAGAGGAAAGATCTTTTATATATCTATCCTTAATTTAAAATGAAGGTTCATTAACAAAACCTATTTTAATTCTTTTTTCTGAAAACGTTTAACTCAATTGTGACTATTCATGTCTTTAGTTCCTTCGTTTTCTGAGATCCATTCTTATCGACATAAAAAACAATAATGACAATATAAAGATTGTTTTTTCTTGAACAAAAAAAAAACATACCATATCGGTAAGAAAATCAATTTTACCACTGGCAGTTCCAGAACAAACATCAATATTCTTTTCAATAGAATCTTCATTATGTTCAGGATGAGTACATTGTGTAGTAGGATGTTCAACTTTATAATCATAAAAATTGCCAAATTTATAACCAGTTTGATTTCCATGAAAATCCTGCTTTTGTTGAATATTACCACGACTATTATTAAATTCATCTGTATCATAAAAAAACTAATTGAAATCAATCACTATTTCTTAAATTATTAAAATCTTTACCAGATTCCTGACTACTATATCGTGTAACATGTTCATTTTTTTTATGAATTTCATCAGTGTGAACATCTTTAGAATCAATATCCTGAGCAAAAATAATCACGTTGTCTGCAAAAAAAAAAGAAAACATCGAATGATAGATTTATATATATATATATTCCTGTTAGCGTGGCTTTTAATACGAAAATATGCAAAAGTTTACCAAAATTAAATGATTGACCATTAAAACAAGTAGCTCGAACATTGTGTAGAGTTTGATGAAAATCTTTATTATTCGTATATACTGTCCAATAAAATCATTGATTATCGAATGCCAAAAACAATAAAAGAAGAGCTATCTGTAATTTCATAGAATCAGTGAATATTGATCTGAAAAAATAATATTTAGATTACTTTCGATAAATATTGTTTTTCAGCCATAAAGTCAGTACGTTTGTATTTGATCAGATTTGTTGTATATTCTACAAAAAATAACATTAAAGAAAACGAGAATTGATTAATCGAAGAACATACTTGTCGCGTATTGCTCAATAAATAACATTTTTTGTTGAGCATCTCCTACTTCTTGTAAAACATTACCTTTATTTGCTTCACTAAAAAAATAGAAAACATTTTAACAATTTGTCTATATTTTTTTATATAATCGACTTACATTATTTTAATCATTTCGAACAGATCATTACTGTCCAATTGTGCTAAATCAGTTAATGAACGTTGAGGCAGTAATAAATTGATCTATATAAAGAAAAAAACTCCGAATATTGTCGAATGTCAGTGTATATGACTCACTGCGAAAATGATTACTTCTTCGTTCATTATAATCAGGTTTTTATACACAATTATTTTCAATGAAAATCTAAAATAGAAAACAAATGATTTCATTGTTAATCAATTTTAATTGCGATGATCATAAAACAGGTGTTTTTTAATTCTCAAATTAGTAAAATAAATTTAAATAACAAACCAAATAAAATTTTATTGATTACATTAATTGAAATAGTCATTATTTCATTTGGATAAATATTTTCTGATAAACTTTTTATTTATGAAGATTTATATTCATTGTTATATTAGTTAATTGATAAGTAACATTGAGGCAGTTGATCAAAAAATTCATAGCTTATATTAATTGTTAATATTTGATAATATACAAAGGCAATTTGTTTAACATTTTTAGAAGAAAATGACACGTATATCAATTAACAACAAAAACTAGATCATTTAATTAAAATAAAATTAATATACATTATTATTTTTTTCAAGTTAAAAAACAATTTTTCTTATTAAAAAGAGAAAGTTTAACTTGTTCATTCGATTGTAGAGAAGCATTATTTAATAAGACTTAACATTTAATTTGATGTTTAATCTAATTATTGACTTTAATATCATAAACTATAAGACGATAAGAACTAGTATCGATTTGTACAACATCAGACATTTAACATAGAAAATCAAACAGTAGATAAATAAATATGTATAAATAAAGTTAGTAAAAAAAAAACCGTTTTTACTAAAATTTGTATATTGAATATTTTCCAATAAATTATTATCTGGTTTTGATTGAGCCACAGTTAAATTATTTGATGTTGATGTTAGACAAAGACGAATACTTTATTAATTCATGTGAATACATTTGCTTATCCTTATTTTTTCTATATGATATGTTAATCGATCGTGTTATCGATTTATATGCACGAACAAGATGGACTAATGTTATTCTTTTTTTTTTCTTTATTATCTACAACATTGCACATGGATCATTTTTTGTTTCTTTCGTTCTTTGTAGAAACACTTTCTTTTAACATAATACATTGGACGTTATTGATAAACTAAACTTGATTCAGAATAAAATGAAAATACACATAATTTATGCATTGACAGGTAAATAAATAGATCGAAGCGAGATATATCTACAATCCACAAATTGACAATACAACGAAAATCAAGGAATTTTAGAATTCCCTGAATATCTTGATTTTGATGATAGTCTAAAGGTATATGTCAGTGACTTCCGGATATATCTCATTTATACAGCATTGGTCCGTTAATCAATGCCGGTGATTTAATCTACATGATACGGTCACTTTAAACATGCCTGTTACAAATGAAAATAGATGGGAGTGCCCACAATAGTCCAAAACTGGTACGATATGGTGTTTTGTAGACGCTTTAACCCTTTGGGGACGGGTTTTTTTTCTGCATATTTCATCATAAATCAATTAACATTTCTATTTTCTAAAAGAATCTATTATCCATTACTGGATATCTGAATAAAATAACCTAATTACAATCCAAATTATACCAAAAAACTCTCTGATAAATGCTTTCATAAAAACTAATCTCATATAGGAATCTATGTGTTTTGAAATGCTAGAGAATCACCATGGCCCCTTCAGGGACCAACCGTCCTCAAAGGGTTAAAAAAGATAATTGCACTTTGTCAAAATTCGCAGTCAAACGATGTTTTCCTAGGATGACATTATGAGGAAACATAAAAATTTTTCGCTTGGCGAAAAGTTTTTAAAATCTGCATAAACGTACTCTACCTAAAGAAATTTATACAATCTCTTTTATCTGATATTTAGTAGATCTCATTTTGTAAGGAGTTTCATTTCTAAAAAAATCGTAGCTAGTGTATCCGCCTACAGTAAGGAAGGTCTTACGAAGTATCCTAAAATGTAAACGACAACACTTTTTCTTTCGGAAAATCTAAAAAGAAAACGATGATTTTCTCACGAATATCGAAAAAGTGTTCCGTTGGCTACGATAAAGTAAATGCACAAGCCTATTCGGTCTAACAATCTTTAACCATTGGTATTGTCCATTTTTATTTTGAGTACTTGTTCAAAGTGTGAACATGTTCACGACAAAATTCGATTCCGAAGTGATTTTTTTTTCTTGAATTTCTTTTTTTTTAAACTGATATTGCCATTACAGCTGCCTTCGGTAAAAAAAAGGTTTAAGGCATTGCTTTCTGTTAGCTCCGACTACTTTTCTTTCTAAAAGCCTTATGCAGCAAAATGAAAAATACAAAATAATTCTTGTTGATTAAACTTGTATGTAGCTCATAATGAGTAGTTTATTGCAATCGTAGTGACTAGATAATATTTAAAATATTCTCCATCGTGCTTTGAAAGACAGTTATCAAGTACTCGGTTATGCCATAATTGCCATACAGTAACTATGTTTTAGACAGACACAAATAAATTTTAGTGTCTAGAGCCTAACCTTTCAGTCAATCTAGGGAATTCATTTTTTCAGTAAAAGCTTTTCTTGGATGACGTGACTTAACGGTCAATTTTTTAATAATATTTAATAAAAAGAATCAATAACAATAATAATTGTGAATCTCTTTACAAAAAAGTATTTGATTAATTCGATCATAATTGAAAATAGTTTTTGTATTAATTAAAGCCACACAATGAGTCCACAACCATCATTTTCAATTGAGTAATAAAATTGTTTGTTAAAAGATAACCGAAGAATGCAATGACATAATTGTTTAATAAATTTAATATGGTCATTAAACACGGAACTAATATCGAAGTCATGCGATGAGCTGGATTTTCTTCGAAAGCAAAATCCAAAATCAGTAAGTAAAGATGCTGCCTCTGCAATTCTTTGACAACTTCTTTGATCGACAGTTTTTGGCAGGTCATACATAAATATACGTAATGAACTCAATCGTGGTAACCGTGAACATGAATGAAAAACCACTGGCCAGTTTGGTAGCATATAGTTAGGATGATAATAAAAAAGTAGAATACGAATAGAACGAATCGTTGCTGGAAAAAAAGAACTCTTGTTCAGACAATTGATACTATTCACAAGAGTTAGATTGCGAAGAGCAAAGAAATCTATTCTAATAGAACTGTTATAATAGGATATATGAAATGTATCAATACGATTGGATTGTATCAAATGAGGTAAAGAACGTATAGATGATGCCAAATTGTAACCAGATCCATCGAGACTACGGAGAGATGATTCGCCATTAATCGTAGTATTTTGAGAAGGTATTTTAAATACTTGTATTTTCATGATCCATTTGTGAGGAAGATATTCGTGAAAAAATTCATCAAATACCCACGGAAGAGTATACCACATATGATGATACTCTTTACGTCCATAACTCTACAAATATAAACAATACATTAACATATTAGATTACCAATTAAAAAACAAAGATTTCTTTTTCCTTCATATTATTTTGAAATGAAATACTAAAAGTGACTTACAAAAGGATCACCATCAATGAGCCATTGTGATCTATCACACCAGTGATTAACAACGAATGTTGCACCAACAATTTCTCGTCTATGATATTGATTACCACATGGTATATATTGTGTAATATTGACATATTGAGGACAATTTATAATTTTAAAAGCAAAATTAACATCAACATGACGATGATCAGTAAAAATTGATGATGAATTAATTCGATGTAAATCATCAATATTGATAAAAAGAGATATATTAGCACGTTGAAGAACAGGCATTATTTTTGAAGATATTAAAATTTCGAAAAATCTCCATTTAATGGTAAACTCTGAGAAAAATGTTTGAACAAGAGTAAATATTCGTAAATTAACCATTGGAATCGATGGGTTAGGCGTTGATAAAGAATCACAACAATTGTAACTTAATCTAACATGTAATTGACGTAATGTCTTTGAGAGTGGTGGTGTAGACATAAGATGAACTAAAATATCTGTACTTGGCAAACAAATACGTATATATGTTAGAGGAACAATTTTAGTAGTAATTGGCCAACGTGTATTGTAATATTCCATGCCCAAATCGAGAGATCGAAGTGCAGGTAAATGAATAAGAAGAATATTTTTTATTAGCGGCGTCATGTCACCTGTTGGATGTTCGAATTTCATCGAAAAACCATCCTGAAAAAGAAATAGTACTATAGAAATAAAAACTGAATTATGAATGAAGACTAATCTTAACTAATTTTTCTTTTGATGGTTAAGATTCAAGTTGACAGTTGTTTCATTTAAGGCCCTATCCTCACCCAAAAATTTATTTTTACTTTGGATCATCCAATCTTGATGAAATTTTCAGACAAGGTGTATCTCGAGCCAGGTACCTCACAGTAAAAATTTCAGCTCGAAATATTGACTCTATCAAGAGTTAGCTTAAGATTAAGGGTCAAAATATAGGTGTCCGTGCGTCCTAAATTTCTCTGCCATTTCAAACGTTAGAAAGCTCGGGTTGCTTTTATAATGTAGCTAAGGTCTGAGGCTACAACATAACAGAGTCCGATTTTTTAATTGTTATGTAGTTCGTTTTTTAAAAAGCTTCTCTGGTAGGATATGGAAAAAGCAGCAGGGTGTACGTTCCAGAACAGTTGACCTTCGCCAGACATTAAACGTGAAATCGAAAAATCTGACTCTGTTAAGTTGTAGCCCAAGACTTTGGCTACATAATAAAACCAACCCGAACTCTCTAATGTTTAAAATGGCGGAGAAATCTGGAACGCACGAAAATATAAAAACGAAAATCCTATTTTGAGAAAAATGCAAAATACATTTTACAAGTGTAATTTAAGACTTTTAATGTAGAAATAGTATTTGTAAATTATCTAAAAGAAATAAAAACATGTTGAACTCATCATGATTGAAGATTTTGTGAGAAAAGTTTATTAACTGATCCATCCAAAGTGACATAAAAAAAGAAATAAGGAAATGATAACTGATTAAAAAATTAATTTTTTTTTCAAAAAACCATAGTGCATTCGACAGTAGACATTTTGCTCTATCTAGCGTACTATAAATCACAAAATCGATAAATTTGATCGAAATTGAGTATTTTGGAGACCGGCTGGAACCTTAAAACTCATCATAAAATTAATAAACTATAATGCATTCGATAGCGGACATTTTGCTCTATCTAGCGCACTATAAATCACAAAATCGAAAAATTTGACCAAAATTGACTTTTTTTGGGTGGGGGTGGGACCTTAAAAAAAACGATTATCAAAGTAATGTTTCTACTCAAGTCGTCATTATGCACAATTAATGTAAACTCGTTTAAGAAAAATTTACTTATTTATAAGAAGTTTTCTCTAAAAAATTTGTCATAATCGATGGAAATCTCGAGATAATTCTTATTTAATTTTATGGATTATCATTGAATGATATTTTTCTTGTTCGCCGTTTCATCTGATGAAGATTTTCAAAATAATTAGTTTATTGAAATAAAAAATGTTCACTTGTGTTTAATGAATTAATTTCTTTATATGATTGTATGATCTCGTTTGATAATCTAGATATAATCCGTCATTCAAAATTATTGAGATCTATTTAATAATACGACATGTTTTTTAGTTCGATTTTGTTTTCTTCACTGGAAAGTCAAATGAATTTATATAATTGTTTCAGCAAAAGTCTCTCTTATTAAACGAGTAAAACTTCTTTTATATTTGAATAAATATCTAGAACGACAAACTTTAGTATTTTATTTCAATGAGAATTCCTAAGCTCGAGTTATTCTTAATGAAATACACAATTAAACTATATGTGTATTTGTATATTGCACAGTACTTGAAAGCATTTAACTAAATACTTTTTGTTTTACTATTTTATTGAGTGTGACAAACTCTTTCGAATGAAATTTGAAGATTCTATATAAAAATTTCTTTTCAAGTCACTTCTAACATATTTTATTGAAATTTCGATCAATTTGACATATTTAAATAATGAGAAGAATTTAATCAAATATTCTATTTTGCTTTTTCGAGATATTGTGAAAAAAAGTCACAACGTCAGTAATTTTAATTCTTTTTCTAATAATTACCACCATTCTTTATATAGTTTTTAAATATGTTAAAGCAAGTTGTTGATATACTTACTGGAACAATTCTTTCATTTGATTTAATGATAAGATGTGTAAGTGTAGCTGCATGAAGCAAAAGAAATAGTAAAAGATGATCATGATTGTATGTGCCAATGATACGTAGAGTTGTTAAACTAGGTAAATAAGGCCAACAAGTTAATTGAAGTGGAGATGCATCACTATCAATAGCAAGTATTTTAATTAAATTTAATGGAAGAAAATGAAGAATTTTATTAAATTGATGATTCTTTGAAAGTGATAAATTAATATGATAAAAAAAACCTTGTTCAATAATTAACATAGTTAAACGTTGATTAAGATGAGTAAATCCCCAAAGGATATCAGAAGATGATAAATACGAGAAGAGTTCAATTAATACGAGATCTGGTAGATCGTTGAAACATGTTATTAATACCATATATATATATCAATTAGAAATGATTATTTCTGTACTTTTTTCCAAGATATACTCTCTTTTATATATTCATTGACGGACGAATTTTTTTCTTTTTTTTTTTGTTTATGTTAATCATTCAAATAAAGGATAGCAATATATGCCTAATATGATCGTTACCATGGAAACAGTAAACGAATGAACGAATATTTCTTTTTTTTTTTTTGCGTTCCATTTCATCAGGTGCATTTCACTTTGAAACGGTTATTCAACAGTTAAACAAAAAAAAAATATTTCGAATTCAAATGAATTCTCCAATTTTCAAAAATTATTGTTCTTTATTGTTATTAACGAATAGCTTCTGAAAAAATGGCGTAGCTCTATCTGTAGAGTATGATTTATGTATTTTATAGATCAATCTCAGATTGCCTTACGATATATACATTTATTTGACGGAATACTATGTCGTATGACACCATCGTTATAATATGAGAAAAGTCAAACTGAATATATTCTAGTTAACATGAATTACGAAAGATTTTAATACAAGTAATAGAAAAAAGCTACAAAGAGAACACATAAAAGCTAATCGAAAGATAAAATATTGACCTTTATGAGTATTAAATAAAGACAACAAATATCAATGCGATAAAATATCAAAGATAAGATTAATGAAAAATCACTTGTCTTTCGATCTCGATTAAGGGAGTTAAAAATGAGACACATTTTTAAAGTTGCTTGTCATCAGCAAAGTTAACTACGTATGATGCCTTTTTTTTTGAAAAGGTCTATATACATTCAACTATGCTGCTACAACTAGCAAAGTAAACACATCATATGTTCAATTTGAAGATTTTATTTTGTATTTAATATTTACGTAAATGATTGACAATTTGCCAGTGTGAATATACAGGAGACGGCTAATGCCAAAGGATCAATAAGAAAAACAGAGTGTTAGAAAAGTCCAGTCGAAGAAAAAAAGAACGTTCGTAAGATTTACATGCGTTTTTTATAGTTCGATGATCTACTCTGTTAAGTTTTATTCAATGATAACTAAATCCGAGTCTTCTGCAACTGTCAAACTAAAACTACAAGTCAGCTATGATAAAACCAATTCAATTGAATAATGTATTACAGTTGCACTTCAGCTTTTTTGTAAAATTGCTGCGGTAGAAATTCGACTGTGGTCTGAAAGATTTAAAACAATCACCGAAGACAAACTCAATCAAATTGATAGTGTTTATAAGCATGCATCAGGATGAAGTATTTAATCTATTTTCTAAGCTTGTGTTATATTGCAACTAGCGATACTAGAAATAATGAGAGAACATCTCCTTTCTTAAAGCAGCTATTTAAGATGATATCTATTGAATAAGTTTACCAAAAAACCATACTACATTGATTTTTTAATTTTCTTACATAAAGTTGCATTAGAGATTTTATGAATCATTGAGTTTACCATGTACATAGTCATATATTAATCAAGAGAATGTAGAGTAGCTATCAAAACTTCTTTTTTTTTTGAGATTTATTGAAACAAAAGTGTTCTTAATAGATGATACATTCCAGTTAAAACTAAAACATAAATCTTTATTCTTGCCTTTTTTGCTTAATGTAAAACCTCATAGATAGCAATCTATATAATGACATTCCAAATAGGGATGTACCGAGACCGAGACTGAACCGAGACTCTCGGTCCGAGCCGTCTCGGTCTCGGTTAGTCTCGGTCTCGGTCAGTCTCGGTCTCGGCTAGTCTCGGTCTCGGTCAGTCTCGGTCTCGGCTAGTCTCGGTCTCGTCCAGTCTCGGTCTCGGTAGTCTCGGACGAGACTCTCGGTCTCGGTTATGGTTCTGATTATAAATGTACCGAGAGTAAATATTCATTGACATAGATGAGAATTTTTCATTTTCAAATATGTCCAGGATTCCACAGGACGTTTCTTGCTAATTGATTCGTTTGCTTTCATCTAGCTCTGTATACATAGGGACAGGCGGATCACGAAAGGAAAAGACTACACCTTATTTAGATTCGATGAAAATTTTTGAAGTTTTCGAGTGGAATGGACTTAAATTTGCTCTTTTTCTTTCATGATCGAGCTGCCCCTAGTACGCACAGCTAGATGAAATTAAGGTGATCAATTAGCAACAAACGTCTTGCAGAGTCTTGGCGGTTTTTGAAAACGAAAAATCTTTATCTGTATCAATGAAATTTCAATCTCAGTACATTTCATGGTCTCGTTAAATTTTGATCTTCACCTTATAACCTTATTAGTGAGGGAGTTTCAAAAATTGATTTTTGATGGAAAAACTTAATATATCGAAGTGTACGCGTGTTGTGCTATTATATACAGTAATCAGACGTTAGTTTTTATCATGGTTATGGTATCTTGACACATAAAGAACCATTCTTAAAGGTTCTGAATAATCTTCCTATTCTACTTCATTTTGTCTAGCCTCTATCGAAACAATAATATATCTTGAATTGGTCTCCACTTTATAGACTTCCTTTGGAAAAAAAGTATTATTCATACTTAAATGGCTGATTATTGTTTTTAGTTAAAAATAATAATGATAATGGAAGGATTACATTATGCAGCGACTTTCACCTACTACTTGTAGCTGTTAGATGCTCATCATTCACTCACAATAGTATTGTATTGGTTTGGTTTTCAATAGTACGATTGACCATCTGCCTTCAGCATTGCTATGTTAGAAGATGTCTCTCAGAAAATAGGAAACCTCTCTTCTTTTATAATGTAACGTCGCACATCAATGACATCTTTACTCTTCTTTTCTCAGTAGTACTTTCATAATAGCTAAAAAAAAACATGAGACGGAATAAGAGGCAGAGAACCACATTACATAATGCTTTTTTTCGTTTTAAAAGAATGAGGAGAAGAATGACAACAAAAGAAAAAAGAAAAAAATGGACCGAAGAAGCATACATTTATTATCGATAGATATCGTTCCATTATGAAAGATAGTGTAAGGATGATTCTAAAGCTAGAAGATTGATCAATATGTGGATCATTATACTAAATTTAAAAAAGAGAATGTGTACCGAACGAATGGTTGAAAGAGACATTACTTATGCTGTTTTTTATGAATACTTCTTCCTTTCATATTCTTTTGGGCAAAGATATTTAGATAATAAATTCTAAAAATAAAATCTTTCTCTCTTATACCAAATCTTATATATGACTTCTATACTGCCTGACCCTAGATGTGGAAGGTTTCATAGCTTAGAGTTGAGACAGTGCTTCAACTTACAAAAAATTGCCATTCGAGATACGTTAATCTTCTTAAAAACAATTTTGCCAACCTATGCTGTATACGAAGAAGAATAATTAAATCTTTGTGAGATTCACATCGAGTTCTAGACGTTACGACTAAAGCTGATATCACACTTGCCTTTACTAAAGAGCGATATGTAGATATGGATGTACCGAGACTGAAGGTACACTAACAAAGAAGGCAATTTTTCTCCAAGAGGAATCCTCAAGACAACAAGATTTTTATTTATAGGTGCTCAGTTTGACTTAATTTATATGTGCATACAACTGGGCAGTTCGGTTACAATAGTAAAAGGTCGAGTCTCGGTCAACCTTGGTTAAAATTTTGTTTTTTTCAACTGTTTGACCGAGACTGGCCAAGACTTGGCATTTTACTCTCATAATTAGTCTGTGCATTCGTATGTATATATAAATTAAGTCAAGTTGAGCAACTCTAGATAAAGATCTCCTAAAGTTCTGGAAGTTCTTAGAGAAAAGTTTCCATCTTTGTTAGGGAGTCTTCAGCCTCGGTATATCCCTACATCAGTCTAGCTGAAAAGCTAAAAAACACATCAATTTTGATCGGCTCTCGGACATTCCTGGACTTGGTCGGGCTGTTGGTTTGTGCAAAGTGTCAGATAGAACCGAGAGGAACATTTCTTAATGAAGCTTCCCTTAAGTCTCATAGGGTATCCTCAGAGAAAAATGTTCATCCATGTAAAGAAAACTTGTGTCACTACGTCACATAACGAAACTCAACGATATCGAGACCGAAACACACCGAGATCGTGACAAGCCCAGACTGAGACCGAGACTGGCCGAGACCGAGACCGAGACCGAGACAGACCGAGACCGAGACGGACCGAGACCGAGACGGACCGAGACCGAGACGGACCGAGACCGAGACTGACCGAGACCGAGACAGACCGAGACCGAGACGGACCGAGACCGAGACGCACCGAGACCGAGCTCTCGGTCTCGGTACATCCCTAATTCCAAATTAATCTGAAGAGTTTCTTCTTTTATTTTTTATTTTATTATAAATTCATTAATACTTCTTTTTTTTAATTTTAAAATAAAAAAAGTTTATTGTTAATTCTAATTTTATCTTTCATATGTGATTTATAACTCAAATTAATTCAATTTCAAGATTATATTATACTCAGTGATGAAAAAGAGAAAGAGTTTCTTCCTTAGTTTATATTTATTTAATCACACTTTTCTTTTAACAACATAATTAACTTCACATGTGATATTGATCATGAGATTTAGTATTAATTTTAATATGACTATGTAGTGCAATTTTCATTTGAATTATTAATTTTGATAATATGAATGAAA